AATTCGTATAGAACTTTGCATGGAAGGGCTGCAGTTTCTTTATTTACAGTTGCACAGATCAATCAGACAGATCATAAATGGAATGCAGGGTAGGTGCACGAATCTCGATGGCCCGATGGAAGAACGAGCGAGATTAGCGCCCCTGCTCAGTATCGCATTGCTCAGATAAATCAAAAGCAGACTACCATAATTCACTACGCACCAAGGTGAGAGGTGCATACTACCACTCAGTAGGACCTGAGTTCGTTCCCTGGTCCGAGCAACATCTAAATTAGAACAAGTTTTTTCTAAATGCGGTCACCCCTAAGCAAGCAATGGCAAACCTACGAGTGTATTTCTGCCTTGAAAATGCATCTTCCAATACCAGTGATTCCTTAAAATTGCAGAGCTCACAAGAGATGTAGCCAGCACCCTAAAGTTTTTAAACTAATTTTTTTCCTAAATATTTAGGAGTGAAAATTGTGTCGTTCGAACGCCTCTAAATTAATAATATCAATTACCTACATGAAATTTATAAAACTTAATTTTAGAATTGTAATTAGCCTAAACCGTATGTTCTATTAAAATCTACTAACTTTTAAAATTCGAAAGAATTGAAAGAAAATGGGAAGATTTTAAATATTTTAGTCTATTTAGCTAAACATTAGCTGACCCTTAGTTAATGTAAAAATAATCCGAATAGAATTCTTATTTAAACATAATTAAATAAAAGTAATAAATCCCAAATGTATACCTTTTCCGGAAACACTCAGCTTCTTGTTAATGCAAACAAACTTTGGAAAAGGTCAACACAAACTTCTGAATAATTCTAATTTGAAATCTTGAAGTCATTGCGCACAAAAGAGCAATTACTATAAATTAAATCCTTTACGCAATGTGTACACTATTTTGACTGATTAAATGTCGATTTGTGTAAGTACGCATACAATACATATCGTCCGATGATACTACAAAACGTTCTATGTCACTTATTACCTTCGGTGCTTAGTTGATCTTTTATTTGTATCTGATCGATTCTGGCAATAGTTAATCCTCATCAGCCATAGGTAGACAGTTTTGTCATTCGTTTATTAGCGTGTAACGATTTACAGATGCATTCCGGCGCAAGTAAGAGACCATCGAAGTGTCAAGGGTACTAATAGACATAGACCGCTTTGCAGTATCACCGACGATATGTGCGTATAGCAAAGATTTGTTTTGCTAACCCAAGGGTATTTGTTAGCTGCATTCAAAATAAACATTGCTGGAATTTGCATAGATATACTGACAGTTAGAGCTGTTTGTGAAAGACTTTAGGTCGATCAAGGTAGAAATCATACATATGTACATACACATACGCACATTTGCAAATCTGTAAACAAACACAATAGGGGTATTCTCCAAATCTTGCAAACCCATCGCACATAGCACGGATTGCATGGATATTGCATAACTTGCAAACACGCAACAACAAAATACATGGGCAACACATTTCCTATCGCTGCAAAATATGCAACGTTGAAACCCATGTATATATTTTGCAAAATAGCATAGCAAGATAAATGCGACCCTTTGCTAGTTGTTTTGTTGTTGGAATAGCTACATATTTCTCTCATTCCTCTCATCTCGCTCACTTAATTTTTTTTTGGCAGTCTCTTGTTATTGTATTTGATACATAATTTCGCTGCTTGCTACCCATGCATGCTTCGTCTTTGCAATGGGGCCCTCTCGTACTCTTCGAAATTTGGAATAGTATTTTTGCATTTCGTGCAATCCGTGCATCGTGCAAGACTTCGAGAATACCCCTAATGTCATGGAATCACTGCAACACAGCAGACAGAATCGCAGGCAGACAATTGATGTGCATAAAAGCTGTGGTACCTGATTTTATTTGCTTAACAATGAATGACATTTGTGTATTGTCGAATGAGCAAATTTGTAAAATTGTGGACAACTACAAACAGAAATGTGGACCTGGTTTTCTACCTTCATATCTGTATTGGTAATAATGCCGTTGGGAATAAAGTCAGAATACTGCTTCTAGAAATATGTATTTTTAGCTGTTTTCGGTCACCCTGAGATATCAGTAATTTAGTACAGGGTATGGCGATGGGCGCGGGATATCAGGTCCCCAAGACCCACGGTATTGACTTCAAAATGACCGGGATGGGCGGTATTGGGAAAGTCTATAAAAACTTTGCGGGCGGGAGGGGAACAAATCCTTTCCTGACACTTCCGATAAAATCGCAACCTCCGAAAATTCAGAAAATCCTCCTTAAAAATGTTGTATGAAATATTCACCTTTATATGTTTTATTGAGATGAAAACGAACAGTAAAGTAAAACAAACAATTGACATATATGTGAATTTTTCTTGGGGATATATTTCGGGACCCACGTGACCCGCAGTACCATTCTGAAAAACAAAGGGATGGGCGGGTTCGTTACTTAAGAATTCAATTTCGGGATGGGCGGGATCGTGATTAAATATTTAGTTCCGTGCCATCACTTTTAGAGGAGGCTTAGTTTACGCTTTCAAAGGAAATAATAGCTTTGGATAGGTTACTGTTGTCCCTAGTCAAGTGGATCACAAAGATCTTGAGCGTTGGTAATTTGTGATACCACTGCGGACGAAGTTATGAAGGCAGCAGATGTTAGTCCGGGAGAGCTCCTTCGGGCAAGTTATAAAGTACGAACCCAAGTGCTTAAGTGCATTCTGGCAAAGGCTCGAGTGTCAGTGTACCCCCAGAATTGAGAAATGCTGCTTCGCGAGGCTAAGAAAATCACTACACCGTCCCAGATCCGCACTCGGCGAAAATTACCTCGCAGTAGCACATGCCCTGGTTTTCCGCCAGCTTTCGCTGTGTTGACCCGACGTCCATCTCTCCAAGAGAAGCGCACAAGTTGTCAAGGGAACTCCTACTTATATTTTCCTTGGCGATATTACCTCGTGGGTGCCGCCTCTGGCAAACCTCCGAGTGTATTTCGGTTTTTCATAAAATTACTATCGCCGTTCGGAAATGGCGTAAAACTGTAGGTCCCTCCGCTTTGTGTGACAACATCAAGGCGCACGCTACAAATCGGAGGAGAAGCTCGGCGAAGCACTAACATATGTATGTGTAAGTGCCAATCTATTATAATTAAAAATATTCAAAACCAATATACATACGCAGTCTTACATATTGTAGTCTTTTTTGTATTTTGATCGATTGAGTGTTTTAAGATAGCCTTAATAAAAAAGTTTTCCCAACTTTTATTGATTTCAACAAAAAGTCCGTTGGATGAAAAACATACACAAATTTGTTTGATTTAGTTGCAAAGCAATTGTTTGCCTTTGCTCAAAAGCTATTTTACCATAACACACATATGTTATTAACGTCCATAACACTGTTTGGCAGTCTGCTGGGGAATTGATAAAACCAAGTTTTTCAGAAAGTCTGGACTACATATGTGTATATACTACATAGTTTCTCGGTTTTCCCACGTGATTTTAAATTTTTTTTCAATCTCAAGTTAGTGTTCGTACAGCAGCATTTAAAACAATTTAAAGTGATTGAAATGTAAATATTATACCACCAAAAGATCCTCCTGGGGGTTTTCGGGCAGGAGGAATCTGCACCTGCAGTTTATGTGCCAAAAATCGTTTATTTTTACCAAAAAACGACACGACTGCTGGGTGCAATTTCGTGCAAATAAACCACGGTGCGTCTGAACCAAGATTAAATGAAAGGTTGCGTACATTGGAAAGTCCTGCAAATTTAAACAGTGTTATAGCTTCTAAAAACTCAAAAACGAAAAATATTCACGGAGGGCTTTTCGAGCTAAGTGGCCTTGCAAAATTTTTATTATATTTTTTTTTTTAAATTTATAATTTCCATTTTTACAGTTTACAGTTATATTGTATATATTGTGTGGTATATAGTTGAAATTTGTATGCTCTTACCCCCTAGGATTGTTCTGTTTTTTATTTTTTTATTTTGTAATCACAAAGTATTTAGATAGTCTATTGTGCATGGCCTTTACCCTATACGTGAAGGATTTTAATATAGGCTAGCCTTTCCGTGGGCTATAGTTCAGCTAAGAAACAAAGCGTTTCAAAACCATTTCGTTTGATACCCAGTTTGTAATAATTGATTTATTTTTTAAAATAATTTAAATATAATTTTTTAAGAGGTGGCAACTCTTTTCAAAAAAGTTAGACCTCTTTGCACATCTATAGTCAATTCCTCACCCCACTTTTGAAAATCGAACGAACGTTGTAGATTTTTTATGCTAAACAAAAAATGCCTTCGCGTATTATTAATATAGATTTATTTATCTATTTATTTTCTTATTTACTAATTATGCAGAAATTAAGTGATACATCACCTAACAACAATAGCTAGGAGCACTAGTAACTAAGACCTTCAGCGTTTTAATCACTTCTAGTTTAAACGATGCTCCCACCACCAACTTCAAATTGAAAAAAAATCTTAAAATCGCCAACCTGGGAAATTGAGAAATTACTTTTCTACATACAATCCAGACTTTCGCAAAAACTTGGTTTCATCAATTCCCCAGAAAAATAAGTGGAAATATCGTACAGTATTAAAAACAAAACTGCCTATAAAATAACCGTGTTTGCTCAAATGAAACAAAATGCATAATTTCAGCTTTCAATTATTTAATATTTTTATGTTTATGTGTATATCAGGTACCGTAACGGTCGTGATCTTTATAATAAAAATTGTAATTTCAACATTAAAATGTTTATTCAATTTTTCCGATCACATTTAATCGTTATTTTATGACTCGTATTTTTTCCATCATATTATAACCATTATTTTCAGATTTATTTTTTATCGAAAAAAATAATAATAGTTATACAACGCTAGCAGCCAAACTTCAGTTTCTTACAAAAAGAAAACAAAGTTTCCTTGTTAATTGCGCATTTCTTACATGAAATGTGTATGCATCTCAAAATTTTACTATACGATATATTCATAAATATAACATATATATGCAGGTAAAGTTGGCACTTACCTCTCTCATCCATGCTGTCACCTTTATAGGTGCGTGAACGGTGGGATAATTTATCTCTGCCGGTGGTTATTTCGTCGCTAGGATGCATACTTTTGTGCGAATTTGTGCTTGAACTAATTATTATTTGTTTGTTTTTTTTTTTTGTGATTTTTTTCGATAGTTATTTTAAGTGCAAAAGGTGAGACAAATATACAGGGCATAGCATAGAGAAGATCGATTGAAATAAAATTTAGGCTAGTATCATATTAAAATGTGATGAGAAGTGTATGTGAAGTTGGTAGTGAGCTATCGTAAATATATTATAAATATAATACATAATAATACATTGCACATAATCGAAAATACGAGACATCAAATACCTATGAAAATTTAATTTTAATTTTTAAACTTAATTCGGCGTTGTTTAGGTGCCGTACAATGCATAGCGCCATCAGATATGATACACGCCAATTACCGGGTACAAAGCTCATACAAGTGTATATAAATTAGGGTGGTACAAAAATGCATGGAAAAATTGAGAATCGGAATTTTTATGCGCTCACCCTCTGGGATTGTTGTATATCGAAAATATATACCCCCATTCCTTTATTTTGATCCCTAAAATTATATAACGACCGCTTAAAGCGCCCAAATTGGACATATATTTTATATGGAGAAAAACAAGTTTTCGTTGAAATGGTATAGAATTCTGGAAAATCAATATTTTTTAATCTATATTTGGTTTCTCTTCAAGATATTTTCAATAATAATACCAAACTGTTTATTTAACCATTTTTTCATAGTAACTATACAGACCCGTCAAAAACCCCAGAAAACGCAATATGGGGAGGAAATATTTTTTCAACATATATCGTGAATAACATTACTAAAATAGTATGTACTGAAGTACTTAGACAAAGCACAAAATAAATGTTCAGAAAAGTGGAAAAGTTTTGGAATTTTTCAAAAATGTTAATATATTTAAGAATTCTAAGAATTTTCTAGGCTTTATACACAAGTACCATGAACATAAGAATTTTTCGACAATTTGTGATGTTTCACATCTTTACATTTTAGGATGGATTTCAGAATAAATAAAAATCTCAAAATTTTAGAAAATATAAAAATTTCTAAAATCTCAATAATTTTATACATTTCAAAATATTTTAATTTTACCAAGATTTCCAGAATCTCCCAGATTTCGATAGTTTTTAGAGTTTTGGAAATTATCCTAAAAATAAGAAATCTCAATAAATTTAAAATTTTCATAAAATCTAAAATTTCATAATTTTTGTTATTTTCTAAACCTGCGAAGATATTCAAACTTGCTGTGACTTTAAACTATGTAAAATAGTACAAATTCGAAAATACTACAAAAGAGTAAAAATTTAAAATTAAATAGCCAAGAATAAACGCAAATATTTTTTTTTTTTGTTTATTACCCTCATTTTGATTTCTTACGTATTTAAATACAAACTAAACTTTTCATTAAAGCTACAAAATGTTTAAGTGCCTTTAAAGATACCAACGTAAATATCACTTGCACATAGCAAATACTTACTTAAGTACGGGCAAGCGCACAAGGGTGCATATTTATAAATTTAAAGTTTAACACTTAATCGAGCTGGGAAATTTACCTCCCGTTAACGCTCAGCTCGCTCTTGAAATACTTTCACTGCAATCTTAAATATTTTGCCATTTGCATAATTAAATTTGACGAAGGGAAGTTTAACATTTCATAGAATTTTAATGTCTCGGCATTTTCAACTGCTGATAAACGAACATAGTATACATAAATACATATAAATATACAAATACGTACATAGATACATATTTAGAAGTGCAGTTAGTGAGTGCTGGGAAAGGTAAGGTGACCGTGTGCTTTTGCGTGTGCTTGTGCGGGGGTAAAGTGCTAATGCTTGTATCAATTTTTAATTTTTGTTGTTGCTGTTGTTGTTTTCGGTGTGTGTGCTAAGCATAGATACACTAATAAGTATATACATATAAAGTAGTTATATACAAAATATGTATATCTAGGTTTTTATACAAGTATACATATATATACACACAGTGCTTTTGCTAGCTCACATACATTGCAGTTTTTTGGTGCTTTTTGTTGTGGTGCAAATGTGTCGGTGGTGCCGGAAGTGCAGATTCTGGTGCGGATGCGATAGTCGGTGATGCGGTAAAAGTGAAACCATCAATATACTCGTGCAAACGATGCGTGCCGTGATTGCCGCCGCCGCCGCCGCCGCCGCCGCTATTGCTATGCTCCGTTATGGACTCATCAAACACACCGGACGACAAACCGAAACTAATGCCAACACCAACACCGCCACTACCGCCGAGACCGGCAAAGTGACGACCAGTGTTATCGGTGTCCAACAGCACCACAACATCATCACCATCAACACCACCAGCAGCAACAGCACCACCAATATCTTTGGCAGTTTTGTGTGCCATTTGTTGCCGCTGCCATTGTTGCTTTTGCTCCGGCACTTCCAGCATTGATTCATCTTCATCGTCGTATGTGTGCGGTGAGTGTGAGGCCAATACCAGCGGATTGTTTAGACCCCAAGACGGTGGGTGTAGATAATGTGGATAATTTGAATAGATTTCAGCGCGAATGCGATCATCGTAATCGTCCTCCTCATCCTCATCGTCCGAGGCAATACTATTCGAAAGTTGATGACCGGTGGCATTGGCGGCTATCGCTGCAGAGGATGCTGATGAAGATGATGATGTTGTAGTTGTGCGGTTATGGTGTTGCTTTTGTTTTTGTTTAAATTTCGGTATGGCACCATCCGGGAAGAATATTAATCTATCTGCAAGAGAAAAGTTAGTGAGAAAACAAAGAGCAGTGGTGCTTGGGTGTGCGCATAAGTAGAAGTGATGCAAAGGAAATTCGATAAATGCTTAATATTCAAAGTAGAGTTTGGATAATAAAAAAAAAAATTAATGATAAAATTGTGTTTAATCTATGCATATGTACAGTAAAAGTATTTGGTATATGGCATACATAAAACCTGTATGTATGTAAATGTATATGTGCAAGTGCATAACTATATTTTATCAATTTGGATTATCGCTTCTGCTTTTGGTGCAAGCTTCCTAGATTACTAAGTGCGACGCATACGACGGCAGGTGCATAAAATGCCAAAAAATAATACGCAAGACTAAAAAATGCATTGTAACCAAGGCGACGTAAAGTAAAGAAAAGCAAGTTTGAGTGTACAAAATTTAATGAACAAAAAATGCTGCGTTTACAAATTTAATAGAAAATTCATGAAAATTTAAGTAAAAAATTTTAAGAAAATTTGCTTTAGTAAATTGTGCTAGCTGGTGGTGGGGGTTTTATGTGTGGGCGTGTGGCTGTTGTAAAAAGTGCATTCGCTGGCCAGCTAATTAGAAATGGTATATAATTATAGCAGCTGAAAGAGTGCGGTTAAACAACGAGCGGGAAGATGCCATGCAAATGTATCTACATAGTAACGTAAAGTTTTTTCAGAAGAGAGCAAGAGAGAGAAAATCATAAGATGAAATGTGTTAGCTTCAAAACAATTTGTGAAGAAGTTATGTTTCACTACAAGTCCAAAGTTGTTATGCCAAAGGCGATAGATTTTATTTCTTGACAGCCTATTAAGGTCTCAAACTTTCACAATTTGTTTTCTTTTCCTTTTGTATTTTGTATTAGTTTCTTTATCTAATATTAGTATAAAAGCTCCAAATCTGTTTACAAAAAGTGAGAAAGAATTTATTTGCTCTGTTAGTAAAGGTAACTTTACTGCTTATATTAGAAACCGACCCTAAGGCTAAATAACTGGCGATCGCATTAAAATCAGACAGAGTTCCTTTAATTGAAGCATTTATGCTGGGTGTCCACGTCGCATAAGTCACTATGCTGTACCCTGGTCCAGCGGCTAATCAAAATTGGCGAAAATTACCCGGAAGAAAATACTGAACACTTTGTGGGCAAAATTGTATTTACTAAGTATTGAGTACTAGGCGCAGACTTCTTTAGCGCTGTGGGAACGCTGAAATTATACAAAAAACTGCCGAGCCACGTAAACTTATTTTTAGTCGTAGATTGCGGATCTGTTTGCCGTTTTTCTAAATTATATAATTTGCCCAATATGTTTTCGTTTTAAGTTTGCATTGTGAATGAAAAAAAAAAATTAAATTTTTAAGTATGTACATGGAAAATGTTACTCATACGCCATGTAGGAGTATGTACGAGTACGCTTCTATTTCATACAAAAATCGATTGCACATTTTCATTTGACCAATCAAAACATGCCTATTTATGCATTGATTTCCATCGTTAGTTGCATGATTTTTTGGAAATTGAACAGGCTTTCATAAAATTTTTATGCTTCATCACCAATAAATATTAACTGCAATAAACTTCAACGCCTAAAGTAAAGTATTGCATAGATAATGGAGATGTCCAACACATTTCTAATGCCGTTTTCTTTTCTACAAAAAATGTTGCCCTCTCATTTCCCTCTTTCTAGTATTTTTGCGCAGAGGGTAATGAGAAGGCAAAATTTTGCGGGACAAAGAAAACACTATAAGTTACAGTTTTATGACCGAAAAGGCGAAAGCTTTTAAGCAGGTATGGTAAAAGTTACAACTTTTATTAAAAAAAAGCGCTCTTTAACAATTATTTTTTGACTTTTATTTAATTAGAAAATAACAATTATTTTTAATTTTTATCTAAGCAATCTGCAAATAACAGTTATTTTTGATTTTTAAATTATATGTCTTAGATAACAGTTATCTATCGAAGACTTTTATTTATAAATGTCATAAATAAAAATCAGTCACTGGCCTTTATTTTTCAAATCATACTTATAAAGTCGTTTGTGTAAGTCGTAGCAAGTTTTTGTTTCCCAACACCATCGTAAATGCGAAAAATGATAATGACTTTTATACGAATGATTTAAAAAATAAAACTCGGCGACTGATTTATATTGATGACTTTTAAAAGTAAAAGTCACTAACTGATTTTTATTGATGACTTTTATAAATAAAATTATTCAATAACTGTTATCTAAAACATATTATATAAAAATCAAATATAATTGTTATTTTGGATTTATAATTTAAAATCCAAAATAACTGTTTTTTTTAATATTACAAAAAAATTGCAAATAAAAATCTATTTTAAAATTTGAGTCTCGGTGAAAAAAGAAACCGATTGGTATGTATAATTTATTTAGTTGTAGAACATTTCCTTCATAGTGACTTTTTCCATGACAATTTTCAACAATAACTTATATGTTCGGTTCCTGCTTTTAAGTGTTAATCTTATGATTGCAGTGCGTTAATAGCAACAACAAGAAGCTAAGTAGACAAGCATTCCTTAAGCAGGTGAAGATGAAGTGGCAAGCAGGATAAAAGCAAATCAGGCACCGACAACAGCTATGGCATATATACATATGTACAAGATACGTACATATTTACCAAAAATATTTATATAAGTATCACTTGTGCATTGTATATCTGTATATGTGCGCGCGAATAAGTAAATATACTATACAACCAAAGGTGTTGCTTTCGACTTTCAAGCTACATAAGTAAGGTGAGCTAACCGGCTGAAGCTTTTAGAAAGGCAACATGACGCAATGATTTCAACAGCGCTGATGACAGCAAATGTCACAGCGACAGGAACTCCAACAGTGACAGTGGCTGTGACAGCGACAACGACAGCAATTGCCGACGACGGTAAGTGCAGGTATATATACATATATAGTTTATGTAGATGCAAGTACAGATGCAATTGCTTTTCAGCAAATTGCTACAGCAGGAAGTTACACAAGCAAGCAATCAAACATACATACACACCTACATATATTTTGAATTTAGTAAATATAGCTAAGTAAAAGCAGGCAAACGAGCGAGCGAGCGGGGTAGACTTGTGTATATACATTGCAAAGAGAATACAGAAGCAGTAGAAGAGGTGCGTGTAAAGTGTAAATTTTAATGCAGAATGAAGAAATGCAAACAAAGAGCGTATAGAAAGGACTAAGGATTTGTATGTATGTATATATGCACTTGGAAAGCAATATGTAGAACACAGTAAGAAAGCATATGTAAGCGGCAAGGGCTAGGGAGGGAGACGGATAGCGAGCGAGAATTTCACAAAGTAAGCACGTGACGCAGCGGTGTAGGAAATTGTTGTTGATTGAGTGAGTAAAGTGCAAGACGCTGTCAGAACAGAAGCTTACTTTAAGCACAACTATTATTGGCTGGCTGTTGGTGGCGGCTGTGGGTGTGGCTGAGTGTCATCAGTGTGTGCGACTGGCTTAAGTAAATGTTTGGCGATGCTGGTGGTGGTCGGCGTCTTGAGGCGGTGAGTGTCTTGGCGGTAGTGAGCGTGATTGCGAATGCGTATGTGTGTGTGTGTGTGTGTGTATGTGAGTTGAGGTGAAAGTAAGAGTTTTTACTTATTTGTCACTTTTCGTATGCTTGTTGGCTACAGAGAGTATTGAGTAGCAGGTTGATATTTAATAAGTAGGTACTTAAATTGAGTCGCATAGTTTGATTTGATGCAAAAAGCGTGCGATTGTTGGTTGTTTACTTAAAAAAAATATATTTCTTGGAAGCGATTGAATGGAAAATTTCAATGAGTTAGAAATACAACAAAGTAAAGGAACAAACCGAGAGTTAACGGAAGTAAGGAAAACAAGTAAACCAAAGAGATAATTAGGTAGTTAAGAGTGGTTAGAGTTACATACATAAAAACAAAAATAAATAACTGAAATTTACGAAAACAAAGCAAAACAACGAAAGAGAAAATAAAATCGAGAAAATATACAAAATGAATTTTCTTTTGAAGAGTCAATTTTTTGCTTAAAATTTCAGATATATATATATATATATATATTTGGATTTTCAATTCTTCCTTATTTTCATTTGTTGCGAATTTTTCATTGTTCTTGCAGTTTCGGTCGCTTGCTGATAGTGGTGCAGAAATTAAATTAGTTCCTTTACTTTTACTACATATTTTACTTATGCGAAATGCATTTTCAGCAACATACTTATTTATATTTATTACTCTTGCACAATTTACGCTGTGTTGATGTTGTAAATACTTGTTGCATTGCAGTTGATAACTTTTTATTTTATTGCTGCTATTTAAGTGTTTTCTTCTGGCTTTGCATAGCATTTTTTTAAGTTAATTTTTTTTTTTTAATTTTTTTATAACTTACCCACACATGGATTGTGATTAACAATATTAAATATACGATCACAGCGTTTTTTCATATGATTATTCGGACATATGCAGCCGAACATGGGCGATAGGCGTAAATTTGTCCACGAGTCGTGACACGCATCTCTGTGGTGAAAGGAGGAAAAACACAAATTCAAAATGAATTAGCAAAATTTATAGTTTGAAATTTATGTATAAAAATAATTTGGTAAAGATTAAACATACATGCAAACCTATGGTCATTCTATATAGAATATACAAAAATTGGTAATTTTCTGCGCGACAAAGCTACTAAAACCGTTTTTTTTTTTACAAAGCAGCTTTATGGTGCCTTTCAAGATAATTCTTTGCGTCCTGGGTTTTTGGAGCTACTTAAAATATTCATAGCTCAATGGGTTTGAGATATCCTAGCGATTTAATTTCAAAAAAAAAAACAATTTTTTTGCTGTTTATGAATTCGAGTCATTAATCATTACCTTTTTTTTTAACTGCCGCTTTCATTAGCAAATTTTTCAGTTTTCATGGTCGCATTAAACTAAAAAATAATAATTTTACACTCAAATTGCGTTTGTGAAGCTATATAAATGTAAGGGCCAGTTTTTCAGTGCACGGCTGCCGTTTAAACTTAGTTTAAACGCCTAAGTTTGAACTGGCACTGAAAAACTGGCGCTAAGCCTTTCATTCAGTTTGAGTACGAAATTATGGATGTGCCCATAGATATGTATAAAAGTTAGTTTCTTGTACATCGTATCAGATTGTAGAAACATTATTTTGTAGAGAAATAATTACATTAAATAATACTACGGTACGACCAATCACTTTTGGGCAAACAAATGTTATTTATTTTCTTATTAATTTGACAATATTCGGGCATACATGGCGTATGAGTAACATTATTTTCGGCTCATCTATTTGTATGAACATAAACTTTCATATTTATAATCTAGTAAAGGATAATAAAATTGTAAATTGGCTGTATATAATAGATATTAAAGAAAAATTAATGTGGGGGTTTTTTTAGAGTAACAGAAGCCAAGTCAAGCTTTTACGCGTATCACTCGAGTAATAATAATAATAATGGAATTGAATGAAGTTTTCACCGACGTATTTCTAGGGGTCTTACTTAAAATGTAGAAAGAAAAAATTAAGAGTTGCCACCTGTTTGAAAATCGAAGTTGAAATAAATTGATAAAATAAAGCAATTGTTTCAATATTGCTGTTAAGGAAAAGAGGTTTAAGCAAACTTAAAGCCGCAAATATTTTTGTAGAAGGTTTCCAAATGTTTGAAAATTTTAATTTCATTTAATGATAAGATACATTTTTTATTGTAGTATACGTATCAAACTGAAGAGGCTTAGGAAAATTTACTGCCGAAAATATTTTTGTAGAAGGTTTCCAAATGTTTGAAAATTTTAATTTCATTTATTTAATAAGATAAATTTTATATTGTAGTATACGTATCAAACTGAAGAGGCTTAAGAAAATTTACTACCGAAAATATTTTGAACAGATGGGCGACAAGTCAGCTCAAGGAAAGTTGGATTAAAACTAGGACAGTACAATCTCACGCGATTCTTACTGCCCCGTCCTTAATTATTTTGGCTATTTTTTTTGGCATTTTTGGTATCACTTGAATGCAAATGGGTTACAATTGTACCAGATAGGTGGTGCTAGAGTCGAAACCTTTTTGAAAAGCCCCGTTTTTGGTCTTATTAGGCTCATTTTCAGAAATTACCTACGGTTGTATTGCCGTAAAAGCCCAAAATCGAGTAGTCTTATAATTCAACAATACGGTTGAAGTTTATGAAAAGAATAAAGATAAAAACACTTCAACGTAGAAGCTGTAATTAATCAATTAACTTTTGTCAGTTATTGAACTTTTTTTTTTTGTACATGTGTTGTCCTTACGTTTTAATTGACATAAGTTTTTAGATTGAAATCATTTTTTCACTCTATAGGCCATATAGAACTACGCTTTATTTAACATAAGCACTTATAAAGAATACACATTTACTTGTACATTAGCCGGGGTCGGTAGACATACAAAAGAAAAAACCTTTTTGGTATGCGCTATAAAAGTGGCTGCATTTGAGACGTCCTAAAAGTAGTGTTGGCACTAATCGATTGATTTTTTAAACAATTAGTTAATTTGATTAAACTCAATCCAATTACAGTTAATCATGAATTAATTTAATCTGATTAAACAGTTAAACGTAACCGTATTAAAGAAAAATTAATTTTTAATCATTTACCCTTAATTTGATTAAGTAGATTTGGTGATTAATTAATTTAAGCTGGAATTGTCATTTGCACACAAGGTCAGTTAATCGGGTATGCCTACGTCGGTTTCGCTCATCAATCTAAGTGGTGTATATTTTGTTTGTGAACAGTCGTTATGCAAACTAGGCTTTAATGTCTGTCTGCACATTTGCGATGGGTTGTAAAACTTCCCAGTTTATGTTATACATATTTTTATAATTATTATTTGTTTATATAAGTGTGTGTTTTTATAAGCGTTAAACACGAAATAATAACCGTAAATGGTGTTTGATTTAAAATGCGGACAAACTAGACCACTTAATCGTAATCACAACCGACGATTAACGATTAAAAAAAAAAATTTATCATTAATCATACAGATGACTACAATTAATTTATTTTAATGGTTAGTCGCGATTAACATTTTAATCGTTAATCAGATAAGCGATTTGCCAACACTGCCTAAAAATATTCAAAATCGACTTTTATTCATAATTTTTTAATTTAGGGTTCGAGTTTAAGGCGTTTTATGTACATAATTGTAAATGAATTTTTCAGTTAATGGAGTTTACAGCTCAAAGAAAAAAAGTGTGTGTCAATATTATTTTGAAGAGGTACATAGTAAATAAATATATTTTTTTTCCGATATATGTGCCACACATTTAAATCTGATTACAAGTAAAAAAGTTGTGAATATCGTTCGATTCTGGTTTGTTCTCAGGGCATATCAAGGATGAAAATTTCCATTGCACCAACGTCCTTGCCAAGTAAATTTTGAACAAAATGGGTGGGAGGTATGTTAGTTAAAAGCGTTTGCGACCCCATCTAATGCACATACACATCCACTGTGTAGTGGTAAACATTTTCATAGCACCAATTTGTCCAACTATTCAAATTTAATGCACTCCAGCTCAAGTTACTACAATAAAGCGAGAGAGAGTCGCTCGTAGCCAGGCGCATTAAAACTTTCATAACGACTTACGCTTAACTGTATTGTGTGTCTCACCCGCTGCTTCAATTATCCCTACAAACAACATTCTCTATTCATAGCCATTACATACTGTCGGAGCCAAATGTGTTTTGCAGTTTTTCTTTTGCCTTTTCAACTACTTTTTGCACACAATGCGACGAAATCGCCAAGAGGTTGTGGTTTGTCGTTTGCCGGCTCTCTTCCCAATCAAATTTCAATTAGAAATGTATACAAGAACTTGTGCTTGAGGCAAGTCTGGTGCAAGTTAGGAAAAGCACACAAATATATGTACATACATGTGCTCTTACGAGTATCTATTGCTTATTTTTATAACTTTATGTATTTACGTACATATGTATATGCATATGGGCAATTCTCACAAACTTCGAATTTTTTTGTGAAAAAAATTATTTTTTTTTTACATCGTGAGCACATGTCTGAAATTTTTAGTATACGTTCCTTTAGCTGCTTGAATACAACATTTCAAAGCAACGCGTTTTTTTTGTTGTTTTTTAAATCAAAAGAGGGCGTAATTTTAGTCTGATTTCGATATTTTTCAAAATATAGCGTTTTTATTCCAAGGTCAATGATTGTACTGAGTTTGGTACAAATTGATAAATCGGTTACCGAGATACATATACAATGAACCAAATAAAAACAGGGACGCGACATTTTTGTAAGTTTTGGCTATTTTTCTTTAGTTAATTTAATGTTTATTATTTATTTTGTGGAAATATAGCTCATTTACTTAAAAAACACGGTAAAAATCAAAATTTCAAACTTTGCGCAAAAATTATGAAAAATCTGCAAAGTTTAAGAAAAATTTCTAACTTCTTGATCAAAATCTTTAGACAAAATTTTGTATTCAGTTTTGTAGCCCATCAAATTTTATCTAGCAAATTGCAAACTTAAGTATCTTGGAACAAACGTTGCTTTTTGACATTTTTTTTTTATTGACGGTGCTTTGCATTTTTTTCATATAAAAAAAATTTCCGAACATAAACTGCCAAAAATCAATGGTAAGTCCAAGCATCTACAGCCCGAGCTCTTTCATTTGACACCTCATTTTCAACTCATACGTGATTTACTTCAAACATATCGAACTCAGTATTTATTTGCGAAACAAAAACACACTAACACATAAAAAGCTGATTGACGGTTTGCAATATGTATGTACTTATTTATGTATTTACAATTGGCGCTGTTGTATTCAAACTTGTTCGATTCAAGCTACTACCGTATTCATTTGCGTTCTAGCTATGAGTTAAATTGGCTTGTGTGAATCATACTTGCGCTTGTATTTTTCTTTCAAGTACATTGAAAACGTAAATGAATCGACTTGTGCAGTACACTGGTATGCACCAGCTACAGTATACTATAAAACCCGCGAGTGTCAGAATTTAAAAAAAAAAGTAAGTGCGCCTGGGCCACACTGGAGAAGTGAAACTTACGTTACTTATCTATTTTGTCTCATAACCAATATATGTACATAATACATGTGTACATCTGTTTTTGCTTAAGGTTATATTTTCTTTTTTCCATCTAGACCCCTAACTCTACTTCTGTTCGTTCTAATTACATTTATGTTATACTGCTTCCCTTTATCTTCATCTTTATACTTTATCGATTACAAAATCGATAGTAAACCCAACAAAATATCGACAACAAAACCGATAAAAATTTCGATAGCAAAATCGATAAGGTTACTGATAACATAATCGATAAAAATATCGATAGCAAAAGTAATAAAAATATCGTTAACAAAATCGATAAAAATATCTATAGAACAATCGATAACAAAATCAATAAATAATCGAAAACTAAATCGATACAAATATCGATAGAAATTCGATAAAAATATCGATAACAAAATCCATGACAATATCAATGACGAAACCAATAAAAAATCGATAAAAAATATCTGTCTTCATCTTTACTTTTATCGGTATCCACTTCCTCATCTTTTTCTTTATATTTATCTTCGTTTTTACTTTTATGTTTATCATTTTCTTCATCTACATATCGTCGCCTGGGTAATAGATTGTCGTATGTTAATTTCGGAAGGTTTTGGGAAATCGAGATTGAAGTTTGGAATGCAATTTCTCAAAAACGCGAGAATAGATTTTCTCCAAAGTCTCTGAAAATGTTACCAGTTCACAAAATTCTTAAATTATTTAATTTTTAATGTTTATTGTTAATTAGTTGTTAGTTTATAAAGGATTCTTTTGGGTAAAATTTTGTCGTAAGCGTCATTTGTCCACAATTTGGCAGCCACTTTTTATGAAGTACGACAAAGTGTGATCAAAATTTCTACTAAATTAACGACACTTTTTACTCAATATCTCGGAAACTAAAAAAGGTATGAAAAAATTGAGAATGCCAATTTTAAGATATTGATTAGTTTAATATGACTGGATTACTAACTAAATTTTTACTGAATTTTCGAAAAAATTTAGATATCTAAAAACTGATAACACCGATCGAAAGACCTTATTTCAAAATATGTAACCGCATTCAGAACTAAAAGTTTTTTTCCCAGGTGACAATATTTTAGTTCGGACTAATTGAGAATTGCCCATATACAGTAAGTTATTCAGTTACCTTCGCTGGCCTCCAACAATACTCGTAAGCTTACCTACCCGCATTGTATGAAAATCCCTACCGAAAGGGTAACATAGTTATGCAAATGTTCTGACCTTATATACATACATATGTATGTATGTAGTATGTATAGCAGCTTTCGTACAAAGTGCAAGTGAACTTAGAGTTATGAAATGGAAAAGTTTATTTTCATTCTGCTCAGATCCCGTTAGCGCTGGTGTGCTGCCATAAGTGGAACGAAAGAGCAGTATTGAATATGAAATATAGCTATTGTGGTTACAACCCACTCTTGTGGTTGCTAGAAGTTCCACTAGCACTGGCGTGTTAACCAGAATTCCAGTGGCTCCCCCACAGCAGCTACGGCTGCTACATAATGCTGCCACTTTGACTATTAATTATGTAAAATTCATTATCGATGATAATAATTGATTTTAATAGTTGTTGGCTGGTGCAGCGACCTGTTGCGTTGGGAATACGTAGTGGTGTTGGCGGCAAAAGAAAAGTAGGAAAATCAGTAGTACAGAAAGCTAATTAACTGCGGCTGGTTGACATAGAATGGCAATAGACTTAATTAAGTTACCACTGCTGGCAAAATACAATGAACACTTTGTATGAGTTGACAATTGTTATCTGGCTAGCAGTGGCATAAAAGTTGAACCAGGACATTTCTTTCGATGGGTTAATTTCGTAGGTAAATGCAAGGTGGCAAGGAAAATACGAATACAAAGAAGTTTTGTTTAATAATTAGTGTTAATTAGCATAATCCACAACTATTTTTGGTCACTTATACAAGGCATAAATATGTATGTACATTAAGGCACGTCACCACCAAAAAAGTTGCGCGTTTCCCGCCGAAATAATATATTGTATTAATTTTTAACACTTTCGCAAAGATATTTTAATATTAAAAAACCCCTATAAAAAAGTGTGTATACATTTTGCTTACAGTTATTCGGTAGATATTTTTAGGCTTCGTTTTTTTGCAGAATAAAAAACTCGATTTTAGAGGAAATTTCAAAACCTTCCACCCCAAGTAAATCTTAATATTTTTTCTGAGATATTTTGGCGGAAGTTGCAAAATATGATAGATTTCATAATTCTAAAGAAATACAATTTTTTTTCTATGGAGTGTGAGGCACCCTAATGTACATGCAAACGTATGTTTTTAAATATAATAATTATATTCTTGAACTGAGCAACTTATATTACAAAAAAATGGTTCGTTGTTCATCCCAATAGCTGGTCCACTGACCAGATACCTAGCAGTATTTTACTCTACAAACACTTAATAGGTGAAAATACATTTTTTTTTGTAGAAAGTAGAAAAGCGATGTACCCGAAGAGAACCCCTTGCTTTCCATGAACTGACTGTATGAACTAATCGGAGTTTTCTATTTCCCTGGCATAGAAGCTCTTGAAAGCTTTTGTCTGATAAAATCGGATAAGGATAGAGTGAAGCACCCTGGAGGACAAAGTCATTCACACCGTGACCAATTGCTTATGGCTATGGAAGTGTAATGTTTGTAGGATTCAGGCATCCACCAGATCTATCGCCAGAGCTTGGAAGCCCGAAAAGAGATTGTATGCCAATGAAAGAGTTTTTTATGCCGCTCTGCTAAAATTAAAGTGAATAGCGCAGATCTTCACTTATATAGGATTTTCAACAGAACGACGGTAATTAAGGCTTTTAATAAGACAATGCTCCTTAACGACCATTAGGCTCCTTGGGAATTTGGAGAAAGTGCGACCCAAGGGGCTTGAAGCCAGAAGCTTCCGCCATGAGAATGACAAATAATTAATTGACAACTTTCTGTGCCAATGTTCGGGCCTACATTGGAAGCGCCTCAAGCACCTGGGTTCATGCTTCTTCAACAGTCTGGGCAGGATAGTGGACGTTGGATCTCCTCGATTTCAGTAGGGATAGCAAATGGCTAAGTAGGATATTAACCCAAATTAACCAAATCTTTTGTATCTGGGAAATAATTGAAAGCCACACACGCATACAAGCACAATTTGATTTCAACCTTAAGGGAAAATTTACTAACTAACTACTTTCTCATGTCATCTCCTTTAAATTAAAATAAAATTGTTTCTTCCTTTTATTTAACGTTCACAATTAATACTAAATAACTCTTCAGGCAATCGTTCGATTTTAATTCAATTACCTGTTTTCCATTTTGCACTTATTGTCTCTCACTTTACAATGCGCTTTGAAATCCTCGAAAAGCTTCAGGCATTTACGCTCCTGCTGGCACACAGATAGTGCGTGATTGCACGTTGGCAATGCATCTATGGGATATGGATCCTTTTCGGCTGTAATTGGCAAAAAACGGAAGCTTAGATATAGTACTTGTATAAAAGTACTCAAGATGCAAAAAACCCATCGCACATACATAAAGGTATATAATGCTTTTATATATGTACATATATTTTAAAACTTAAATTGAATTAAAGATGAATATAAAGTGTGTGTAGAACATTTTAAAATCATTTATGCATACATCAATTCCAATACATATGAACATGCTATGCTATACATATAACACGTACATATGTAGATTGCCCTTTAATGCATACATATGTATAGTAAACCAGAATGTCCTTTGGTAATTTTATTTTCTATATAAACCACACATTCAACCTCACACATTCGCTTTCAGCTTCGAGTTGGTTGCTGAAGAAAATTGGTATTTTATAGCCAGACATGTGTGCAGTCTGTTGCAAGCACAATGTCGGCGAAGCTAAAGTGCCATTACTTGGAAATTACTTTAAGGTGCTTGAGTTCTACTCTCGTTCTTCTACACACATACACGCTTACATACATATGCACGGGCACACATCCATACATATCTACAAACCTTCGTAAATGCATGTAAGTATATAAATATGTTTAAATTCTTAGGGAAACTAAGTACTGACCTTATACTCGTAATATAAAATTGCGTGAAACGAAGCCACTTTAAAAAGAGTTAGAAAGGAAATATCTGTCCATTTTTTTCTATTCTAGGTACATATGTATGTGGAGTTGTAAGTCATAAATAAAATTCGGCAAATCTTTTATATCAACCTTGCGCTAGTGTAGTCCTGATCCATTAACCGTGGCTGAGCAGTAATCGCATCTTGAAATCAGGGCGATATGGGGTGCCAAGCGAACAAATGCTTTTTATGCTTTATTACGAAAGTATAGCACACTAAATATCTAGCAAAAACCATGTCAGTCTGAATATTAAGCTTTGTCCGAAAATTGAGAAAATTCGGTTTCATCGAAGCTTTACTCACTTTTCAATCAAAATTTTGCAGAAAAACTTTTAGTACGCAGATTTTTAGCCCACTAAATTTTAGTGCAACAAAGTGCAAGTTTGAAGTAGCTTCAACTTATCGTTGATGATTCACTGCACCCAAATTTTTTTTTATGGAAATTCTGATTAAAAAGTTTTAAATTTAGATGAAACTTTTTCTACTTGCAGGGACTGAGAAGTAGAAAAAAGTATTGAGAGGAGTTTCCAGTAAGAACAAAATGAGAACGAAAGTCTGCGGAACGTTATGCTAAAGAAAAAAACGAGAATTAAAGTTTTGAGAACTTACCGTTAAGAATGCGTGTTAGGTATGAAAAATCGTTTCAGTGAGAACGATGATTGTTAAATCTAAGCCAGGGGTAAGCTGAATCATTTCAACTTCCACGTCAGTTATAATTAGGGTGTACTGCCCATTTATACAACAATTTTTAATTTTCTGTGCAAAAAAAAAATTGTGTCTTAAACTTTCCCCGACTTACTTTGTATAATTATCATTCAGTTCTTTTTGAGTAATTTTAGTATGTAAAACTAATAGAACGCTATAAAAAATCTTTTTCTCTGTTGTACTTTGGCAGAGCGTTCCGGAGGCTATTGTTCTCATTTTGTTCCCTTGGAAATGTACGCACCTGTTATTTTTGTGTACGTTCCACAGGGTTTTTTTTCTTATATAATTCCCGTTGAGAACGTTCTCTATAGTTTTGTTCTCAATCTCAAAGGTTTTGTTATCATTCAGGTTTGGGTTTTTAAGCGTTCTACCTGGGAATCTACGATAACAACAATTTAGCTCCGAGCATAACCTTTTTTCTAGGTCCCTGTCAAATTTTCGCAATTTTTGCGCAAAGATCGAGATCCGGACTTACGATTTTTTTTTCGATAGTGCGCTATACTACCATATAAGAATATAAACATTAAACAAACAAAAGAGAAAGAACCAAATTTGTTATAATTTCTCTCACTATTTGCTTTCCCGCCACCGTACATATTGATGAATCAAAAACAGGTTTAAGAATCCCGCTTGTCCGTCAGAAATGAAGTGGAAGTATTTATTTTCCCAAGCTTAAGCAATATATGCGGCACTGGCGAGTTCTGGCTGATATAGACAACGAGGCGGAACAACCTAGACAAACTTCTGCTCCGGGAGGCCGTAGTTCGGGAAAAAGTGTCGAAAGGCTGGGGTAAAAATTTGCGCTGACGCGAACTCACGACATTCGTTCTGGTGTAGCTCGGAACATAAAAAGTGAGTTATTATTTCTATGGGAGAATTAATTCTAAGTAAGAACATAGGTATTTGTTACAGGGGCAAAGACCCAACGTTTCTAACTGCGGTCAGAAATGTGGTCCTTTGACCTTATCCCGGCCTTTTCTTCTCTAATATACCATATTTCCGATTCAACGGCTGTTGATACTCACTTATTTTCGTACCAACATTATTCTCTTAGGCCTCTAAGAGCATTTAAAAGGACGAACTCAGAGTTCTTTCGCAGGAATTCGCAGAATATTCTACCGTAAAACTGCTAGGAAAGATTTGTTCTGTTTAGGAAGTTTATGTGTTCAGACTTGGTAACTATAATTCCAGCATATGGAAATACAAACTCTAATCAAGTTGGAAATTTTCGGAAACGTGAAATCTCCCATGTATCTCTGTGACTTATGCGAGTTATTAAGGGAAATCTTGTTCCCTGTACTTCATAGAAAAAAAAGCCTCGATGCTAATTTCTTTGCAAATTCTAAACAGTGTGAAATTCGGCCCTATACCAGCAATTGGTACAGCCCTGACTCTACTTTTGGACTAATTACTGGAAAAGGGCTACCAGCTTTTGTTGATTTATGTCTGCTCAAAGCAGTGCGACCATAGTTTCTGCGCCTGGGAGCATTCTCTCATGCCCACTCATGGGCATTGAGGGTAAGGTTGGTGCTGACCGTTCCACCATAAATCTATGTCTATTTGGTGTATTTTTTAAGCCGTATACTTTTTTAGACACACATCCCACTGGGGTGAATGGAAGATCAGCAGAGGTCCAGTAAACATATATATTGATGGATCGAAGTTGGATGGTAGAGTTGGAGGGAGTGTATTCTGTCAGGAACTCTCCGTTAATATCAAGCTTAAGCTTCGGGATTTCTTCAGAATTTTCCAAAGGCAGGTAAGTACATTAAAAGAGAGAAGTTAGCTGGCTGAGTACCAGCTAGTGTAGCCACGATTGGAAAGCTAAATTTTAACTCTGACGGCAAAGCTCTGGGATCGTTTATGGTGCAATTGAAACTGATAGTCGAATTCCGAATTCTATCTCTCTCCTTGCTTTACTTTTAAATCACGCTTATTTGAATTGTAGGGAATAGTCACGGCTTGGCTGCTGATTTGGCTAGGTAGGGAATCCTTGATGCCATCTCCCCTTATATGGAGGATATGGGTGTTCCTGTGAATCTCGGTTTTGACCGAGCTTAGCACGGTAGCTGTTTGAGGATGGTGAGTAGGAATCATAATAACTTTTATTTCTCAGCTGCCAACCTTTCGCTCGACAGGCAGTATAAACGTCAACCTGTTAATGCAGATCTTGTTCTCCCACGAAAACAAAAGCCCCGGGTTTGAATATACCTTTCCTTCCTCATAAAAACACGGTAGATACGTGTAAAATTCCTCGCAATAATCTAATAATTTGTTTGTTAATTTTCTGAAAGGAGTTCGTATTTTGAGGTGCACCTAAGATTTTTTTCAGTGTTGCATTTAAGTATAAGTACCTTTCTTCTAACGTTTAGTGTGTAGTTTCTGGAACCCTGCGAAACTAAAACAAAGAGCATCATGCTATTGGATAGAGTAACCAGATTGTTTTTATTGATGCCTAATACGACAATGGAAATTGTGATTGGGTTGCACACATATTTTCTTTCGCCTGCATATGAATACAGTTTTGCTAAAATTTCACTTCTAAAACGTGAAGAATGTGACAAAATTCTACAAATACCTATCGACGATAACCAGAAACTACTTATTCAAGTCAAGTGAATGTATGTTTGTATATTTAAAGGCGCATTTAGAGAAATAGTTTACTGCCATTCTATATAAGCTTACGAGCCGATTTTCTCACAAAGATACTCTTGTACTCGGATACCGAGGCAGTCTGGTTGTCTTGCGACTCTTCGCCAGCATTTCCGCCTTTCAATATGCCAAGCTATTGTTCGAATTATGTTTCATATGTACATTACGCATATGACTTTTTTTCTGCCATCAGGAGTAGGTTTTTAAATTTTTCTACTCCGTTGACTTGGATTTTTCCATATATGTACATTAGACTGCATCGCTCCCCATACAAAAAAAAAAAAATCGGTACTATTTTTCCACTGGAATTATAAAATCTATTATATTTTAAGACGTCCACCAAAATATTTTGGAAAAATATTAAGATTTAAGTGAGCTGGACCGATTTGAAAATACCTCCAAAAATGGATTTTTTTTCGAATAAAAATAGTTTCTTAAAGATCTTTTTTGAAAAAATCCCCTCAAATGACAAAACGGTTTAAGCTCAAAATATTTGCATAAAAATATTAAAAAAAAAATTAAAAAAAATTTTGAACGGAATCGTAATGATGAGATTTTTGATGCTGTTTTTTAACTTTTTTCAAAGATTGGTATAAGAAAAACTTGAATAACTGAACCTAAACTCTTCCGATTTAGACTTGAGAGGTGTCATTGGAAAGGTATTTTCTCACCCTTTTTATTTCATTGCTAATAAACTCATTCAAAGGATGGAAGAGAAAGGTAGGAGAAACGAACGTCATTCAAAGTTGAATTAAGATTTGCTGGTACTCGAAGAAAAAAGATGGGACACGAATGACGTTTTTTGGCCAGAAATAAAAACAGTGTGAAAATACCTTTCTACTGAGATCCCATAAATCTAAATCAGAACATTTTTGGCCCAGTTATTCAAGTTTTTCGTAAACTAATCTTTGAAAAAAGTAAAAAACAGCATCAAAAATTTCATTCTTACGCTTCCGTTGAAAAGATTTTTAAATATTTTT